CCATAGAATACACGGCCTACCTACTTAAGAAATAAAATTACAAACGTCAAAAATCCCAACGTTGTGTGATTTTTGTCACATTTCCTTCTAATGTTAATATATACCAATCATTGTTTAGGGAATACGTAATCTATTACATAACAGAAATTTGTTGTATAAGGTTGTTTTTTTTTCTTCAAACTGACACCGATAAGCTTACATTAAAGGTTGTTTACGAAAAGCAATTAATGTAAAGCAATTAATGGGAAATAACTTTGATTGCCGATAAATTTTAATACGAGAAAATCCAAAACCAAGAGATCTAACCTTGATTAACGCATATAATTGGTCGGATGTACTATAGCTCTTAACTGTAAACGTTGGTTTTTGGTACTGGTTCTTTTCCTTTGAACCGCTGGTAGCAGCAAGAATCATTTTTACGTACCAACACATCACTGTAATTTACAAATTAGTTATCGTTGGCGTTGTACCTTATTTATTACAGGCGTATTCAATTTAATTGATGTCTTAAATGTATAGGTTTTGATTTTTCTGTCTGGATTCCAAAATGTTAGTTTATGCTAAGAAAACTATAACGCATTTTAGTAAAACATTTATGAATTGTTCAAACGCTTTAAACGTTGTTTATGTATCAATAGTTCGTGGCCTATTTTGGTAATTTTTATTATAAATTACCAATCTAAATCGTCTATAGTACTTCATTTCATATAGCAAGCCGATTCATATAGCATTTCAACAGCATTTCGGGTCATCTTCGGTCCAAGCAAATATAAATTGTTATGATAAATTTGTTTAACATTAACAAAGATATCAAATACTAATTTAATATGTAGACCTACTTTGTTATGCTTAAAGCTTAGCAAATTCCCTAATTAAGTTCTGTATTTTTGTGTGTATGTCTGTTGGTAATGCATTAAATGTCCTTATTTCTCAGTGTTTCACGGAAAGGACAAGGAGGTTGAGGTAGTACCTTAAATACTTTTAACCATTGTGGAAAGTAAATTTCAATTATAGGCCTACCTCAGGGCTATGCCTCATAGTTCTATAATTTTTTTTGTTTAATAATTGGATTTAACATATGGAGCAACAAGATCTGGGTGACATTTAATTGCGAAGCATTAAGCTTTGGCTTGAAACTGTCAGATACTGTATTTGCGAAGGTTTATATGTGTATACAGTAATAGTTTTGTCAGCATATCTGAAAGTATGCAAACCAACTGAAGCTGTGCTTAATATGAGAAGGTTTTATGGTTTTAACTGACTACGATAAGATCCCCGTGCGTAGAACGGGCACACAGCTATTAACCCTCTAAATTTAGCAATACAATTTTTTTAGCATAACTTCGATGACATGCGGATGTCAGTGGTCTCAGCCTTATCAATTACATTAAGTGTTCAATATAATATATCTTCGGAATGTTAGGTGGTTAGGTGTAAAGGAATATACTTGCAGTGAAGCTGGCTTTTATTCTTGAAATGATGGACCTCGTTCATATGGTCATGCGACTTCATTGGCAACAAATAATGCAAATGACAAAGCAATGCTGCATTTCAAAATACCCCCGCCGCAGCAAACCTGCAGACTAAGCGAATTTCCATTTGACTGATTGGATTTACACTGAAATGTCTACTTAAAAATATAACATTTATTCCCGATTTAAATAGAATTAGTTTAACAAGTACTTAGGTTTGCTGCATCAGGGAGGGTAAAACTGTTTTTTTTTTGTAAAATGTTAATAGTTAGTAAGAAATAAAAACATTTTCCAAATTTGATCAAAATATGTTCATAAACAAGCAAACTACAACAGTTTACTCATTCTCCATAAGAATAACATGGGAATTTTAAATTTACAATTTTTTGGAATTTTCTCCGTAACCATTAGGCGCATAATAACGCTTCAGTATACTAAATTATTTGTTTTTTGAAGCTCTGCAAAATGGTTTGGAAATAAATTGCTAAATTTGATGTTTTTTGGGTCAAAAATGGGAAAAACCTATTTTTACCCCATAAAACCCCCCGTAAACACCCGTTCCCATAGTCCGATCATGCTGGATCGCGAACTCGTTCGAATAAACGTAGGTTTACACGTTTGTACCAAATTTCATCAAAATCGGATCATTTTTGCTCGAGTTATCGTGCTGACGGACACACACACACACACACACACATATATATATATATATATTTATATATATATATATATGAATTTGAACGGATGGTGTTTTTGGCCTCTAGGGACCTCAAAACGAAAAAAAATCGGTCCCGCGTCCAGGTCTTACCATGAGTACTACGGTAATAGCTTACAGTATTCCCTATATGGGAAATTCGCTAAAAGCAAATACTGTAAATTGTTACGTAAATAGTGACATTTACATGCATTGTTGTTAATCAACGTATCTTAGAAAGGGTGAGGATATCTAGTTCAAAATGAACACGACCTTTCTTTCATGGCAGTAACTGCTTAAATGGTAATTACTCTTTGTGAAATTTGTTTTACAGTCGAAGTGTAGTGTTATTTTCACAAATCTCATTTAAGGCCAACCAAGTGAGCCACGGTCCGTAATAGGCCACTGCAAAACATCTGTCAAGATATAAGTACTATTTTAGGCAAGGTTTCTGTGTTTAGATGTTATTAGACACGATAAGAGCACAATAAACTTCTCCTGCAGATGAATAATCCGTTGGTCAAGAGAAATATAAGCCGGGAATTAATAAATGTCACAATCCAAGCGCATTAAAATGGCTCTGGCCTGAACTTTTTTGTAGAATCAAGTTTGGGGATTTTGTTTATGTTACTCTCTGGGTAAGTTACCAATGCACTTTGATAAATTTCTTTTAGAGATAAATGTTTTTTGTTGCTGAGAAGCGCTAGTAAACATGTACAATCCTTTTCGTTAGTTTAATAACATTCAATAGGAACTATTGTGTTTTCACTAAGCTGTTTGAATACTGTCCATCGAAGTAAAATCTCTAAGTTATTAAACAATTAATCCAGTTGCTGTACACCACAATTAATTTAACAAAATATGAACACGGCTCATATGGGCAACGTGCCCTCCTGCACTTGTATTATTTTGTATTGTATTACACAATCGAAATCATTTCCAATAATTAAAAACATGAATGAAAATAATCGCATGAACCTATTGATGATCTGTCTTGAATTATATGACAAAATATCAGCAAAAGTGGTAAAAAAGGCAGACACCAACCCGTCCAATAGATATAAGATTATTCAATAAGAAATCATTTTAAGAGTTACTGTAATATTAAGATTTTCCAATGATTTCGTAATTGAACGTTATATTGCAAAACATGAGATGATACAGAACAAAATACATTTTAAAAACAGAAAATTACATTGCAAATACTTCTTTTTAACAAACTCAGTAACTCCCTATAATATGTGTTGTTTAAAATACAATTTAAATATTAACAGCTGTTTCATTAAAAAGTAGTGAAAAATTATCCATATGACGATAATGTAAACAAATCTGGGAAGGGAACTTTAAAGACCTCTGGGGCAGAGCCCTAAGGGAATTTACTTCGTTTTTCTTTAGATGGCTCATCAACAGACCGAGAACTTTCTTTGGACACCTCTACCAAGTTTCTACGCCCAGCCGTTCTCTCAATTTAGTGGCCGGGCCGGACAACGTTTCCAATTAAATATTTAGATTCCCCCATGTTAATCTTAAGGGAGAAAACCCAACTTTGATGGAAGATCCTGCCCAAACTAACAAAGATGTCAAAAAATGAAAAATACTTTGCAAAACTACAGATCAGGGCCATGTTTTTGACACTTAATCCTCAAAATCGGTGCAAAAATGAGGGAGGAGTTCTGTTTACAAAAATCGGCTTAGCGTATTATATATACAGGGTTAGTAAAATGTGTGGCGACCCCCTGTTATTTTTTAACGGCCCATACTAGAAAAATAGGCCCATACTTGGCACACCTTTATGGCATGTTATAAAGTACTTTTTGGGCATAACCGCCACTTGGGGTACATCCCCAAAATGGGGGATTTTGGGGGAAACTCCAAAATTTCTAATACAAAGACCCATCGAGTGACCCCTCATTTTGAAGGTCCTGGTAAAAGAAAACCAACAACGCAAACTAGAGGTATCCATCTCAATCCAGTAAAAAATAGCAGCCAATTGAAATTCTCAAAAGTTAAATTTAACTTACAGCTTTCCAAGTCTGGAGCCCCCCTGTAAATTTTGTAACTGGAACACTAGGAAAACTAAACTCTACACCTTTATAGTATGTTATGAAGTACTTTTTGAGCCTAACTGCTATTGCTACTTGGTTCCCAAACCCAAAATGGGAAATTTTGGGAGAAACTCAAAGATTGTAAATGTTAAGCCCCATTGAGTGACCAATTATTTTTAAGGTACATAGGTAGGTTTGATAGGTTTGAATGATCATTTTTAGTGATCCACTTGGTGTACATCCCCAAAATAAGGGGAGATATCGGGGGAAACTCAAACATTTCAAACGGTAAGACCCATTGAGTGACCCCTCATTTTCAAGGCCCTGATAAAAGAAAACTAACAACGCAAACTAGAGGTCTCTATCTTAACACAGTAAAACATGGCAGCCAATTGAATAAAATTGAAAGTTAATTCTGACTTCTAAAGACTTTAATCAGCTTCCATTTTTTACTGGATTGAGATAGAGACCTCTAGTTTGCGTTGTTCGTTTTATTTTATCAGGGCCTTGAAAATGAGGGGTCACTCAATGGGTCTTACCGTTTGAAATGTTTGAGTTTCCCCCGATATCTCCCCCATTTTGGGGATGTACACCCCACCACCTTTGTGGGTGGTTATTCCCAAAAAGTACTTCATAACATGCCATAAAGGTTTGCCGAGTTGAGTTTTTCTAGTATGGGCTGTTAAAAAATTAACAGGGGGTCTCCAGACTTTTTACTAACCTGTATAAACCTCTGTGTTTGTTGCATCCAAAAAACTGCAACACTAATAGTGTATCTTGATGTTACAGAGGTACCAGGTGTGAGATACCCAGTCACTGTGGGACCTGAGTGTTTGTTGCCACCCAGGAACCTCAATCTGTGTGTACCTACAGTGCAACATTACTCTCCCCCACCCTTCCTGCACCTAGACTCCTCTTCTGGTAAGTTTTGGCTAAACTAGTTAATATAGTAATGGACTGTTCTCAATAATTATAATTTTTTATCTATATACTAATAGGCAAGCATGATTCTTGAAAACCTTTTCTCTCAGCTCGTGTGCATTGCAGGGAAACTCTACGCACAATATTAGAAAGCTATTTTCATGTAGTTGTGCAGAATCTTTTTATAAATTAAATTGGCTAAAAAATAAGCACCAAAATGAATTTCAAATTAAAAAAAAAAGCTTAAATGGGTCTTATGGGTGTCTTAAGGGGGTTATGCTGGTGACGATATAACAACAAAATATAAACAGAAAATCTAAACACATTGAAGAAATTCCAATCACATGTTTTATTTACAGTGTGGGGTGAAAATAGAGAAGTCTGCACATCACATATTTTAGATAGAACTTTCGACCAACGGACAACCTCTAGTAGCTATTAATATATTTATGGTCACATTCTTGAGTTATTATAAGAACAGGCAGGTTGACTACATGATTTATAAAAAAATCATAAAGTAGTATGGCAGTTTTAACCGTTTCTGAGTTTCTTAATGCTTTTGAGAGTTTTCATTGAGCATTGGTCACAAGGCACAGTACAGATCTAGTAGAGAGACATTCAACCAACCAGTTACATTGTTATGCTAGTAATGCTCAAGACTTGATGTAGCAAAAAACAAAACTACTGTATTAGGATTTTTCTTTTAACTGGTGTCATTTGTAACAGCAATACTCATGTAATAGGTATTTACTCAGGGGAGGTATAGAAGAGGCTACGATGACAGCTGAGGGCTTCTTATTAGCTGAGGGAACGTCATTACCGTAACAAAACTATCGATAGCCATCGGCTTCGGTGGTCTAATGGTTAGCGTGCCGGGCTGATATACTGAAGGTCCCGGGTTCGAATCCCGCCGGCGGCATTAACTTTTTATCCAAGATTTTTTTTTATTTTCAGCAAGTTTGGTTGGTTTGGTTTGGTTATTACAGTTTAATTTTATTATTAAGTCATTATAAAATTTTAATTGAGCAATTTCTAGTTTTATTTTATAAACAGAATTATTTTTCCGATTACTATAAACTTTTGTTATATTATTTCTTTATCAGCAAGTTTGGTTAGTTCGGTTAGGTTATGATAGTTTAATTTTATAATTAAAAATTAATAAAATTGAATTTTAGGCATTTATAATTTTATTTTATGAACAGAACTATTTTTGCGATTAGTAAACCTTCATTGCCAAAGTGCTTTTTACTACAGTGCTGTTCACAGAGGAATTTTGAACTAAATGCCTCATTTGTACCTCCCCTAAGTCAGACCCCATGTAATACAAATTTTAAAGAGGTTAAATATTCCTTTTTAAACAATCTCTACACCATCTTAATGTCTTGAATGGATTGAATTTAATTTATAATTGATCTCACTGATCTGTGACAGCAGGTGTCATATCAGTTTGTTCTCAAAAGAAAAGAGGTGAAAAAAGAGCAATCCCAGACGAACAAAAAGATGAAAGGTATTATGAAAGGCGAAAGAGAAATAATCAAGCAGCAAAGAAGTCCAGAGATGCCAGACGCTTACGAGAAGACCAGGCAAGTTGTGATTGTTTCAAACAATGATTGTTATGGTATTATCATTGACAATTAATTGTATACTGAAGTAGACATTCCATCTATAAGTTCCAAAACGCATATTATGGAACGCTGTCGCCAATTTTTTTTTCCAAAGAACATAGATGAGTCTCGAGTGAGCCATGTAACAGATTGCACTGTCTAAAATTCTACATTAAATTATATTTTATCAGCACAATCTGTTGGTGGCAAATTTTGATTAAAAACTGGCAACAACTTTGACATGGGGATGGAATATGGGACATCTAGTTCTATCAATATTCAAATGAGCAAACAGAAGTGTGCACATGAAAAGACCAAATAATTGACAATTTCTTGGACACTTGTTGATATCCTCTTAGTCAAAGTTTTGAGGAAACATACAGTTCTGTTATTGCGTGATAACTGTAAATTATACGATGATGATTTTTAAAGATATCTTTAATCTTTACAAAAGGTGATTTTTCAGTGTGGTAGATTGCGAGTATATGTATATAAATAAATAGGCAACTCACAGTCTTCGCAATCCTGATAAGTTATAGCACTGCCGCCGTTTCGGAGATCACTCCATCGTTGGTTGCGTAGTCGATCAGTCGCCGCCCTTACTCTCTGCTGGGTGTCGCCACGTCCTAGGGCTATGGCGGTGGTTGGGAAGGGAGATTGAGGCTTCATTATCTACCTAACTGTTCCCTTTCTATTCACTTACGAATATTTTCCGAACAGTTGTGTTAATAACAGTGTAATAAGTACTGCAATGTTGTGTAAAGGGACTTTTCGGCCACCCTGTACTAGGCGTAGTTTGCAAGAAAAAACTAATGTACTACCAAAAAGTATTTCATGTGAAACACAGGAATTTCAACTTTAAAATTGTTGTAAAAATCCATAAATATGAAAGTGAGGTTACTATCAGGCCTACTAACATTGACTATATAAGTCAATGCTACTAATCAACAATAGTACAACAACAACGTATTGTCAACAACGTACAGTAGACAAAGAAAATAATAAGGTAAACCATTGGCACTTACTAGCTGACTTATGTTTAAGATAATAGTTAAAAAAAATAGCTATCCTTGTTCAAAGAGACAAAGAGTACACATCTGTCAAACATTCTACTTTGTTCACTTTTTTGCTTTGATCCCATAACTCTTTATTTGCACTGATAGGCAGGTAGCTGTAAGACTTGCTGTCTGGATCACAAACCCAGGAAATAACATTTGATCATCTTGTTTTAGCTAGTCTTAAGTATTAAGTAATTAAGTAGTACTTAATGATCTGTGTTTCCAGATTGCCATGAGAGCACTGCACTTAGAACATGAGAATGCCATGTTGACAGCTCAGAACCTCACGTTGCGCGATGAGATCTCCACTCTCAGGCAACTAATCCTCAAGTGCAACAAAGCCTCCAGCGCCAACTGACTTGTTTCTATATCATCAATTTTTTTACACTTTGATAATTTGTTGATTTATTGATGTTACGTTTATTAGGTTAGGTACATTGATTTAAGTATAGTAAATATTTGATTGTTTAATTTGCTGGTGGTGAATTTCTAATTCTTAACCCCTTCACTACCACCTCTCACAACACCGCTCATATAGCTTAAGTGTGAAGTGTGACGGAAAAAAACACATAGATTACATCACTTCCTGACTTATTGGTTCGATTAACTTAAGCTTTTGAATAGTATAAAATGTCTTGTATAATTTTTTTCAAATATATAAATTAGACATAACAAAGTAAATTTTCCTACTGTGATTCTCCACCAGTGAGTGGTAATTTAGCGTCAAGGAGACCAAATATCAATCTGTTCCGAATAATGATGTCATGGACCTGCCAGCCTTAAGAGTGGGTCAACTTGACACTTTAACACCTTGTTGCTGGTGGGATTCAGGCTGGGTTGATGGAGCTGGCTGTATCAAGGGTGACTCATGTATAATCAGTTGATGGGCCAACTGCGTGAAGGTGGCTCGTTGAATGAAATTAGTCTTAACCGTGACTGCCTCCTAGCTCACTTATTTAGTCAGTGTGGGCCCTCTTGTTGAACCCATGCGACCACTACATTAAAGTACAACTATTTCTACAATGATATTTTTGTATAAACTGTTAATCTAAATAAGTTTCTGAAAACTACAATAAAAATATAGTTTATATCACATTACTCCCACACCGATTAATAAGCGAGTGATTGGAAAGTCATAGATTGGGTATTGATTTGAAATAACATCACCTTAACAACCTAAACCTTTGTCTAAGTCTGTGGTAACCAAGATTTAAACACAAGTTTAGTAAAATAAATGTGAAAATATTTCTTAACAGTAAGTGGTGTAGTAATATGCCTTTGTAATCCTACCTCGTACCATAAGGATTTTCACAAATTATTGTATTCAGAAAGTGTTCATTTGCTGAACAGGTGTGGATGGTTGTCATAAAGTATAAGGTAGTAAGGTATAAAGACAACCATCTGGAATTTGCACAATATTTGCTGCAAACTAAGGAGTGGTGGAGGAAAAATTAACTGAATGTAGAGGATAGATAGCCCATCACTTTATTACAATATAACTCTGAAATCAACAAAAGGACAATAATTGTACAATACAAAAGAATAGACACGTCGTTAAAAAATACACAATATATACAGAGATCAGTGTTTGTGAGCATAAACCCAATACGAACACCCTTATAAAAATAGTTAATGTACACATTAAAGTCACTATTTATTTACAAAATACTACACAATGCAGTAAGGCAGGGACTTACTAGATGCTGGTGCAGCATACAGATATTCCAGTCTCAGTATATTAACATGATAGTTTTGTATTTGTGTTTAAAGTCTAGCCTTTAAAAACTGTCAAAGGCATTAATTGCACACTTTTAGAAACACCAAACCAGTAAGGAAACTTAAAAATAAAATGTTTAAATATTTGCTCTAATAATTTATAAAATAAAACTAGTTGTAACACTTATTTTGAATATACATTTTGAATTCAGTCTAGAGAGAGCCTACGAGGACGAGGTAAGGTAAGGTTAAACCCTTTAACCCAGACCAACTTAAATTCCATAGAAAGCACAGGTACAAAGTAAAATATTTAAATAGATACATCCTGTACTTAAACACCATATTTGACTGTAAATAGCAAAATCCACAATTGTGTATGACAATAATATTTATATATTAACCTGATATTTTATGGGATTCTGTTTATCAATCTTATAACAATTGTACACAAATTTCCAGTTTCACAGTTCAACTCTTTCTAATAGATTTTTAATAAATATTTTATTAAATAAAGAAAAATAATAATTAAAAAACTTTAATGATTGACATCTAGTGACTTTGCCAGAGTGTGGATGTTGCTATACATTAAACTACTATACTACTCAAAAGAAAAAACTAAAACCTTAGTTAGTGCTAAGACTTAAATGCTTTTCACTTTAAATTGATAAAAAAATGTTGAAAATAAGTGCACCAAATTTATACATGTATAAACGAGATAAATTCCCAAATTATTTTTTTAATGAAGTGGTTACATACACAAGTAACAAAAATCACTGAGTCTTCTTGAATAGTGATTAAAAAAATAAATTTGTAAAAAAATACCAATTGCGAATTTGTTGAACTTTTGTGACTTTGGTAGTAAACGGCCAACTGAATCATCTGTTGAAATTGCCAACATTGTTATGTTTGTTTTATGCTTAAAACAAAACATAAACTAATGTTTATTTCAGACTTCTTCACTAGATTTAAAAACAAATTTCTAAAGGTAATAATCACACTCTCTACTCTCCAAGGCGAGCTTTGGATCCATAAAGACATCCAAATACACAACAAAAAAATCAACACAAGGCTTCAGCTTAATTTCATTGACCGAGTAAAGTTACAGGTGCTATTATAAAATATGGTTTGGCAGGAATTATAACTTAAAACTGGACTGAAGAAAACTTAAAAAATGACTCTGGTTACTGCTTTTATTTACAACGCTTAACATCAAGTGAACAGAGTATTCGTGTTAAAATAAATTCAAGCTGCCTTTATAACTCTGTTATTGATGTTTCACTTAAAATCTTTACCAATATACAAATTATTCAACTATTTACAAAATTTTCAAATATGCACATTTCTTTATATCACAAATGTGGGTCTTGCAACCTTAAATAAAGAGTACCAAATTTTTGGTACAAAATGTTGTGAAGTTTTTTAATAAATAGTAAAAATAACAAACCCTTTCTCAAACACAGAAACTTAATTAATCCGCTTTAAAATATGTAATATTTACATAATATTGAAGATAAAGGGGTTAAAAAACTAAATAAATTGTTTACTATAAACTATCTAGGTTAAACATAAGTACTAAAATTCAAACATTTGTTTTCTTAAAAAAAATGAAATTCAGTACAATATCTTTTATAAAGAAAATAATAACAATACTCCACTTGGTAGTTTAAATGCTTATAAAAGCACACAATTATAAAATATTTAGTATACAAAACAAGTAAATGAATGATGTTGCACACAAATCTCAGTTTTAGTTCAACACCAAACAACTTTTTTTCACAAAGCTGATTAACTGTAATTGCAAATCAATTACTAAGTCCTTTTATGTTAACATTCTTTTTTTGGCCTCTCCTGATGATATTTATTGCGAGTAAGCTAAAGGGTTTGAGAAAAAAAACTGTATTATTGTCAATTAATTGCTAGAAGCAAAATTGTATAGCATTTAAATCCTATCTATGCAAGCAAACAGCAGATGCACAGGGTCTCTGCATCACTGATTGTCTTATTGTTTCCGGGTGGGGTCCTGGGTGTCTTTGTGGTGCTTGGGTCTGAGTTCCGACGGGTCACCCAGTGAGGTGGAGGCATTAGACCTCGGTACCAACAACACTGACCCATCTGCTGACTGCTGCAGACTCCACTCAAACGGAGAGTATGGGTTGCCCTCAGAGTCCCTTAGAGCCTGTACATCCAACATCATTAGTAGGGTCTACAGAAGTACCAACTCAGAGTCTGCTATGAGAGTCTATTCTCAACATTATTTACTTTCTTTTAAAAGCTTCTAAAACTTGATTAATTGATTATCAAACTATTTGGAACAGAATCGTAGCAATCTCATAACCATCTATCATGAGTAAGATATAACCGTGATTTTCTTCTGCATTCACGACATTCTGAGCTTATCTCTTGATCATGGCAATATCAGAATCATTTCCCCCAATTATTGTTCCATACTGTGAGCATCTCCCTACAGTCTTGACGACTCCAAGACTGTTCATGCAATTACGTCAACATCTTTGATCATTGCCCCTCATCACAGCTCTTGCCGTTACAGCAGCATCATGAGGGTATCTCGCTAATGAAATTGTTTACAACAAATGACAACGTCACAAGAGAACTAAGTAAATCTATTGGTGATTATACCCATTTTTGGTTCGAAACAAAATCTATCCCCACCACTAAATGCACAAGAATAATTCACAAAAATCATTGATTATTTTTTTTACTAATTAATTTTTACGAAGGTTAACATCCCGTTATCCTATAATTATTTAATTCGTTTAATTACCAGGCAAATATTTTGTGGACAGATTAATTTGACATATTTATTTATGAAGGCTAATTTAAAATCAGACATTTGGCTTGATGACCAACTAACTTGTCCATAGTAGTTGGCAAAACCATTTCTTAACATTAATTTAATTTCACACCTTACATACATCCTATTATGGTTTAAAACCTATATGTCCCAAAAGCAATTAGTAAAAATATAAATGAATATAAAATCATCGCTCTCATATATACCTCATTTACCTGGAGCAGATAAATTACACTGGGGTGAAGTGGGTGTAAGTTAAGGCATAATTAATATATACTGTATACAGTACCTGGAAGATATGCCTGTAGAGCTGAGTGTATTTGTTTTTCATCCTCTGAGTTTCAGTTACTAAGTAGTCTCGATCCCGCATCAATCTATGTTTTCTGTCCCTCATCTGCTTAACTTCATCTGCTAGGTTCATTATTTGGTCAAGTTTACGTTTTCTGCAATTTTGAGCAGCAACCTGACAAGAGAAATCATACAAGTATTTTAGTTACTGGTGGTCATCAATGTTATTTTATAAATATGTCAGCAATTTGGTATTAGTATAATAACTAGGTGTACGTGTTAAAACTGCTCCTTTTAATCTTCTAAGTTTAAATAAAAATTGCCATATAAAACCCACTCCCTTAGTAGATTTTGGTAATAGATAGATTTAGTCATAATCTATTTTATAATGGATCTTATTTATTATTAGATTTTAAAATTGACTGAAAAAATGGCTGAGTAGGAAGTGCTTCTATTCCATTGAGGGGTACTTTACCACTGCAATGGACTTTTGAGCCTGAATCCAGCTGCCTTAAGTTTAACCTTCCATTGGGCGCATCACGGAAGTTACCTCCGGGTCACTATTTTTTTCGTTATAAAAACCATAGTATGTGTTCGGCAGGGCTGTGGCCTGATTTACCTCATGAACCTCATTTGCGGAATCGGATTTGTATACTCTTACCCCTTTCCCAGTTGTCAGTCAACCTTGGGGGGGTGGTTCGCGTCACTACTGGAAGTAGCTTCCGTGAGCGCCCTTGTGTTTGACCATATTTAGCGATATTATAAAATGGATGAAGAAGAACTAATTGTGAGATTGTTGGCTAGTGTTAAAAGGGAGTACAAGGATCAACATTTAGTAGAAAGTAGCCTACTAATGGTGCGTTAGTTTGGAAACCTTTTTTTTTTCAAGAAAAAGAGCTTTGACAAAACGTTTAGTCCTACTAAAAAATAATTTTTTGCATTAGACAATTGGTGTTTTATTTCAAACACCATTGCAATTTTTTCTAAAGAGGTTTGACAAAGTAATTTGTTCTTATGAAATATATATTTTTATAACACCATAGGGGTTTTATGTCATACACTGATGCAATTTTTGTCTACAAGAGCTTTGATCGAATGAGTTGTCCTTGTACAAAATGATTATTTTCATTAGACCCATGTACGTGTTTTTATATTATACACTTTTAAAATTTGTTTTCTAATATAAAATAGTACTGTATAAGTACAAAAAGTTGGTCTTTTTTATCCACAACACTTACGTATTTTCATTTGGTTTTATAATTTTTTTTATTTGATATACAACTTAAGTAATAGTGTAATAACTTATAAAAAAATGTTTTTATTACAGTCTTATTGCTATTAAAATGTTTTTTACTCATCATTGTATAGTTTTTGTACTCCCGGAGGTAACATCCGTGAGCGCCCTTGGTGTTTGAAAATCAATTCGCCCGACGGAAGTTTAAATATTGTAAATATTAGTTTTAATTCATTGTGTAAAAGTAAATTTTTATCTGACAAGATCCATCCAGTCATCTGGTCAACAATCGCCAATTGATAATGGTATAACCAAACAGTAAAGCACAAATCATTAAATTATAAATTCTGCTTGTGAAGTATGCTTGTGTTGGTTAGTCTATGGTCTATAGTACAAAAAAGCTTAAGCATATAAAGAATTTTGATCGACAAAATTTAGATAAACTAGTGACTTCATACAATTTTAGATTTTTGCGACTAGACTTTTTTATACCAATTATAAGCAATTTTCTGCTGATAGCTTTACTATTGCCCTATAGCCCAAGCTGTATATAAGCTGTTGGTACCAACCTTATTCTTCCCTCGACGTCTGATGTCCCGTATGAGGGATAGTTGTGATTCACTAAGATCATACTTGGACAATCGCTCGTTGAACTCATCCATGGGTAGGTTGATGATGTCAGACACAGGGATGGGAACATTCAATGCTCGAGCTCGCTTTTCATCTCTAGTCAATGGTTCTTCATCACTTCTTCGTCCTAGTAACATAAAGTATGCTAAACTGTTTAATATTGAACATGATTAACTACCTTTAGAGATTTGGTAAGATGCAATTTTGAAAATTTTGATTGATTACCTATTGTAAAATTGATGGTTATAAATTGATTGTTTTAAATATACAGTATTTGAAACACCACTCTCAAGTTTAAAGGTTGTAACACCATCAGAGAATATTCAGCTTAAAGCCTGTGGATATTTTTTAGAATTAAAAAAACGATGGAGTTTTTTGAAAAAAAAAAAAAAAAAAAAAAAACATTGACTAGAACCTGAATGTTCCAGAGTATGAGTATACATAAATGTTTTAATTTAGCATGGTATTATTCCTTAGTTGGTTGATATATTGTTGAGTCATATATTGTTTTAAAGATCTACAGAAGACTATTTACAGAAAGATTTTAGTATCAATTTGTCTTAAAACAACATTATCACAGTCAATATACTGTCAGATTACTGGTGGTGACAACTATTGAACCACAGGATTACCAAAAGTCTGATGTATTTACAGTTCTTATCAACAACACTCATCTCTACACTCATTATGTCAAGTCAAGTGTTGCAGTGTTATGGTTCCTTTTGCTGCTATGAGCATGTTGTACCTTTTTGTTTGTCACGAGCCACAGGTCTCTGCATGGCCCCGGTCTGGTCGGGAGGCAGATGGTACGTGTGGTTGTGTATCACATGATGATCAGCTGGTCTCACTCCTGCACATAGTTACACATATGTTAGCAATGTTAGCAATATGTTAGCAATGCATATGTTAGTCAGGCATAAGCCTGGACTAGTCTCTGTCCAATTATCTTAGCACAGATAAACCATGTTTTCTTTGATCAGATGGTACAAAACAGGTAAATGTAGTTAGTGTTCCAATGCTAATCTTAAAAAGTTGTATGAAACTATAGGCATCTACCGTAATTCACTACCATTCAATTCTAGATTATACAAATGTGCAATATTTTAATGTGCCCCACTTTGTAAAGAATAACATTTCCTTTACATTGTTTCATCAGTTTTTGCCTAAACTATTGCACTACAAGATATTTAAATTTATTGTTAGTCACTTGTAAGGACTAATCTTGAATTGTAGTAATAAAAGGAGAGGTATTGGTAAAAATACAACTGAATATTTTATGTCTTTTATGTTTTTATAAGTTAACTATTATAACAGCTTTAATTAGATTATTTTTAAAGTGCATCATCAATTCTTGGTTCATTGAACTCGATTTTTGTTTACTGGTAGATAAAAAAATATGTAATATAAAACTACAATGAAACTTAAAGATCAAAAAACTATTGAGTCCTAAAACAGAAGGATGTTCATTGCTAAGATGAGCTTGAGCATTACCAGTATGAAGATGCCTAGTGAACTCGACGCTGCAACTGTACTTGGTCTCAGGGCCAGGTTTGGAGGGGTCCCCTTGGTGATGGATCCCTGGGAAGGGACTGGCCTCACTGGGGGAGGGGCCATAGTCAAACTTTACCCCAGACGGCACACCCATACTGCTGTTGGAGCTCGAACCTGGTGAAACAAAATATATAGCTACTGTCCCTTCATAGCAATCTAATGATTCTTAGTAGCTTTCAACTTTCAGCTGATTAATTTTACCAAGAAAGGTGTAAAATCATTTTAATAGTAGCATTTAACGTTTGGACGGTATTTATGATGGCACTTTGATCACAGGTCTTGATGACATTGTGGTAGGTACACATTACAAAATTTATGATTACTAAAAATGATAATGATTTGCTACTGGTACCAGTAGCCATATTGTCTTAAAGTCCAAACACGGTTAAAAAAATGCAGTGATGATCGGATTGAATACCTGTTTGTGGTTAGCTAACAGTGTTTTAGACAGATGTTTCACAGTTAAATTGTACCAAAAATATTTTTTTTCAGTTGACAGTGTTTGTTACTTGTGTATTTTGACCCATTATTGGTTTTTATAGAACAGTACTACAAAGAGTAAAAATTTATTTTGTTTGTCAGTATTGCCATCTGCAAAAATGAGTAGGCCTACTATAGAATTTTGAAAAACCTCTTTTTTGCATAGGGAATTAAAAAATCCGTTCCATTCCAAACTACAAGTGCAAATCCATCAATCGCTAGTAAACAGTAGTGTAAAAAGACTGAAACATTCTTTTCAGCTTAACCATTACAAGATTTAAAACACAACACAAACTCTCTATAACATTGTAGTTTTATTTAAATTAATCTTTGCGATTAAGTTTGACATAACAATTATTGGCCACTCTTTGAAATATTTTCCAGTTGAAATGTTTACAGACTAACGAGGCTAGAGGGATGAATGAGATTTGCAACAGTCAGGTAGTGCTGCAGATGTATAGTACTAACCTGCGCCCTGTTCCTGGAAGTACCGCTTCCCGTACATGTGATGTTTTTTCTGAGCTACGGAAGGTTGAGGCAGTCTGCTCACAGCGCCTACCTCAGTAGCATTGACGTGACCACGGCCTGGGTAACTGTAGTCATACCACCTTAGTTTTCTGCAATGTTCAACACAATACTTGTTAGTAATTGCTATTCATCAGTAATTTTGTTTGGAAATAATAATGCACCAAGTCTATAGTCAGTGACAAAACTTGACAGATCATCTCACTTTATCCTAAGCTTACTTGCATGTATATTCAGCTCAAAATACACATCCAAGAGTGTGTCGCTGTTTTAAAGAATTAACAATTGAGAGAAATGCATTATTGTGTAGTGCATATATGCCAAATAAAAACATTTTATTTTATTTTGCAAAGGAGTAATTTACAAAAATAATTAAAAAAATTATTTAATTTATAAATAGATAATCCTATTTATATGCTAGGATCATCTTCCTAGGAGTTAAGATGTCCCAAACGTTGACAAAGCTAAAGGTATCTCCAAGGACCGAGGCAAATTAAGCAATACCATGAATGTCGGAAACATTTGCAATGTTGCTGCAAAGGGTGGAGAATCTGGCAATGATACCACAAACGTTGGAGTAGATACGAGGGTCGTGTTTTAAGTAAGGGCCGTTTGTGCGTATAGCTTCTTAGTTCACGTCTACACTGCAAGGAGCCCCTTGCTGCTTACTGCCATCATTTGTGAACTGAAAGGCGCTATTATAGCTCTGTAGTTGACGTTAACCCTTTGCAGTGTCTCTAGAAAAATGTTTAAATGGTTTGAACTGATATGTTTTTTGACCACACAAAACATATCGGCTGCAGACATTCTTCCCCAGATGACTGAAGTTTGGCCTTAATGCAATGAGCGCAGAAATGGGCTAGAGTTTAAAATTGCCGTAAAAGTACGAAGGGAAATGATTTCCCTGGCCATTTTTACACTGCATAACCATTTCCGGACTTTACCCTGACTCATTTTATTAAGGCTATAAACTTCAACCATCTGGAAATGAATGTCAGCATTGAATATATTTCTACTGGTCAAAAAAGTATCACTGGCTTATCTCCCATGCAGCGGGAGATTCAATGATTTTTTAAATTGTCCAAGCACACAGCAAAGCACAAACGTCAGCTACATAGCTGCAAATGGCACGAGTAAGCGGAAAGCCGACTCTATGGAGTTATAAGAAAAACGGCCCTTACTGACTCAGAGTTTGCACATTAACAAAAAAACACATTAATAAAAGTGTGCCGAAACAAGTGAATTCGCTAGCGAATGACACCACATATACCTACTCTACTACACTAAGGACAATGACGGTGTTTTGACCATCTTAGCGTCAGTTGGCCCTGAGCTACGAGGGTGTAAAGTTAGGTGCGCCATGTTTTAAAAGGATGAAGAAAAGGCCAGCAATTGACTGATTGGTCTTCAACAGGACATTTTCAATTTGAAACAGTTAGTTGTAATTATTTTGAAATTTATCTATATCTATTTAGCCAACCTATATTTGGATTATTTGAAATTTTGATGCTATATGAACTTATTAGGTAGGCTATATAAAAGAGCGTTTTCAGTTAGAAGTAAGACGCAGACTGTCAGTCCACGCACGTGTACTAGTGTAACTATTAGCCGCGCCTGTACTGGAGGGTTTAATAATAAATGATGAATTCCCACTAATCCCAACTTGATTCTGTCCCATTTAGTGTGGAATATGCATCAAACTGGGTCTGTTAAGTGACTTACCCATGGTAGTCGGTGGCGTAGTGATCTGCAGGAGTATGGCCTGAGTCAGAGTTAGTCTCCATCCATTCAGTGTCAGAGGAGAGACTCGGGACTCGCTCACTGCCCATGGAGCTGACAGCCGAGTCTGAGTCTGTAGCTCGCTCAACGGCCGCCGTCGCATTGCTACTGCCTTCCAGCATCCGCATTGTGTACATCCCTGTAACACATGAAACTCATCTTTAATCTGCTGTCAACACAACAAATAAGTTATCCGCCAATTGGATGAAATACATCGTGCCTACTTGCAGTCTCCCCTATGTGAGCTGGAGTGCCAATGTGGTTTTGTTATTACGGTGCCGTGGATGGACTATGATTTCAGAAATAGCAACTATTATCAGCGAGCGGGATTGATGGGTACACAAATAAATAAAGAAATGTATTAGTAGAATTTAATCGTTTTGTTGAGTACACTGGGATTTGATGATTCCCGTGTAATATGGAAACGAATTAAGCCAAGGTTCATGCCAGGATGGGATTTTTCTCACTGCACAGGGTGGTTTCTATGGATGAAGACATGTAGTAAACACTTGGTGCTCCTGATGGGGAAAGACTGGACACAGCTGTCTGAGAAGAATTATTGCTTACAGAGTGATTTCAATGTGTCAGTTTGGAGGCAGGCAGACACATTTGAGAGCCGACAGACACGGTGTGTGTTGATTTTTTTAACAAGCAGAGTACATGTGAGGGAGGGGAGGCAGTCTCTCTCACAACCCATGGAGCTCACAGCAGTCTGAGTCTGGTTGGCTCACTCACTGACGTGTAATATCCTTATAGCCTTACTTCTCACAACTAAGTTAATAATATATATTGTTAAAAGTTTAAGTTAACCAATGCGGTAAAGATTGCCCCATTCAGAACTTCATTTTTATTGGTGGATTGTTGGATAATTCTTAAACTTATTCCGGCAACATTTTTAAAATATCTTAAGTCATGACCACTTTTCTATTAGTTGTTCAGCTTTCACATTTTTCCGATCTTGTATAATTGGATCAACAAAACAAGATAGTTTGGCAACAACAGTATACTACAGACTTATTGGTACAGACTCATGATACAAGTAATGAGTCCGGCTCTTAAGAGATGCTCTTTGGGCAAAATAACTGGAACATATTCATTAATATTGTAGTTTTTGGTATCAGTAAAACTGTATAGAAAGTTTAAAGTTTAGTTTAGTAAACATTTTGTATGCATTTTTATTTCAACATAATTGTTGAACAGTGGCCATAAAGGCCAACATTTAACAATTTGGTTTTTAGAAAACTACAGTATGCTATTTAATGTTTGAAAAGTTAAAAAGGTGACCAGGGCACATATTGTCATAAAACAATATATGTTCCTGTTATGTAAAACTATATAAAAAAGCAGTATGTACACTTTGATCTTGATTTATAGAAACAAGAGTGAAAAAACAAAAACAAAACAGTAGAAAAACTTTACAAGTAATCATAATTCCCATTGAAGTCTTAATATTGACGTTTATAGATTACAAAGCTACATACACATAATTGTTGATATTTTAACATATCTACCAACCTACATTTACAGTCTAGTTTACCTGTAGAGAAGACATTCTCAATGAGAGAGAGCCAATAAGTGCAGCAGCTACAGTCACACACTGACTGAGGTGGACACATGACTAACTGCTGACTAACACAGAGCTATCATCAAAACTGGCGTCATCACAACACCATACCACGCCTCACCCGACAACATCTTGACTCACTAACTTGTAAAGGTCAACACTTTAAACTTAATGGTTAACATTGCCAAGTTGCATTCAAAACACACAGTACCAGACTTTTTGTTTATATTTTGTCATGTCGTGAGTTACCTTCATTCATCGCCATGTCCATCAGCTGCAGGTCCTCATCATTGAGAATGGATGACAGGAAGCCGTCCGTGGTATGGTTCATCTCTCCACTGCTTCCATTCTGAAACATTTCCATCAGAATACATCGGCCCACTCCACTTCATTCACACACACACCATGAATATGTAGATGGCGACTAAACTGCCTGTCATGCTCTATTGTACCCATGCTTAATACATACACTGATACCTCACCTCGCACAATTAGTTATCAGAACTGTCGCCTTCTAAAACCACTTATATAAATAGTGTCATCTAAGTGTTGGGAGTGAACGTGTAATAGGAAATATTATGCATCAAAATCACTTTTGAATGTAATTTTCTAAAAAATAATCATAACAAGTTTATAAAATAATATATTAGTTACTTAATTTTTATAAATAATATGAACTTGTTAAACCACCAAATTATTTATAGTTAGATTTTTTTCAAATGGTTAAATGATATTGAGACACTAATAGTAAGATTTTTAACTTAACTTAAAAAGTTTAGTTATTTCTGTTTCAAAATTAGTTTGGAAAGATTTGTGTAAGATACACCTTAACACGATTGTACTTTAAATAAATTGAGCGAAGGGGGAGAAAGCTGGTCTAACGGTGGAGTGTGAGCCATTGGTTTGTAAGGTCTTGGGTTAAAATCCCACTAATCACCAATGGATTTATCTACTGTATGTAATAATAGAGCAAACATCTCGGACTAGTCTGAAGTAATGTCTAAAACAGTCCTAGGCTAAAACCTAGCGTCCTAGGATATGAATGTGGGGCATACAACAAAATTTAAATAAAATGAATAAACAAAATTAAAGAAAACCAAGAGTGGACTCAAGATTTTCTCTCAAAATATTTTGCTTCTTGCACATATTAAAAACATATGTCTAATGTAAACTATACAGAATTTCCAAAAACTGTATTTAAAAAACTTTTCTTTTGTCTTTTTGGATGTGTATTTTCAGAAAAAAGGTTTTAGGCCTATGGTCAAATGATATGTTTAGGGGAAACGATTATGATTTCTCATTAAAATAAGCCCAAGCCTACGTGACATCAAATCACAACAAATTTTTTAATTTCAAATCACAAAAGATTTTTTTGTTTTTGATTTTTCATTCATCATCAACAAAATTTTAGGCAGGCCTACCTGGTAATACATCATGTCATGGGGGTTCTCCACCTTGAAGTTGACACTGTGCTGTTCCCCTCCCATGGGCTCACTGCTGTTGGTCAGGTTCATAGAGGTGGCCACAGCATTGCCTAGGTTCGAACCTCCACCTACCACCACAAAACAATCCATCATTCATCTACAAATATAACTACTAACTTCACACTTCAAATAAGGGATACAGATTTATATTTTATTAACCTGTTAGCAATACCTCCAACTTACCGAGTGGTTGATACGGAGTGGAGCTGTTGATTTCCCCCACAGGGGGCGCGAGGGTGGCGTTGTGGAGCAACACACTGCGGTCCGAGGGGTACGAGGGCCCCCCTGGGTACGAGGGGCCCCCGGGGTACCCACCAGAGGAGTGGAAGTGGTGATAGGCATGGCTGGGGTCTGGTAAACTGAGCAGGTTAGCCAAGTCTTGCCATCTTTGTTCCATACTCATGGTGCGCACATACGGCATGCGGCCCTGTAACACAACAAATCCAACAAGTTAATACCTTTGATGCATTTATACATGTTCAAATCAATTTTTACTAACATCTGTTTGGTCATAGCTTTGCTATTCCTTCTTTGAGTTTCCATTGCAAAAAGAGAAACCAATAAAATGTTATGTAACTTGTATGATATAATTTCAGTGTATATTTGTGGAGGTGTATGGTGTATCGTAGGAGGATTTGACAACATGCTATGTTTGTTGTATGCAGTCTCAGCAGAGTTCAGTTATGCAATCTTGTATGTCTAGACACAATCTCGCTGAGGTACAACATTCACACTGATGACAACGGTGAATTGTCACCAGAACAAGCAAATTACATTGTAAGGATATTAACATCAGTAGCAACATCTATGTAAACAGTAATAATATGCAATACAAAAAACCTTCATTTTTACTTTAAAAAGTCGTTATGGTAACAAAGTTATAAATAATGATTCTCTTTTGTATTGCAAACAATTAACATTGTTTTGAATAACCCTCTAAAACCCTACCAAGTGACCAAGCTATGCTACTGTATATAGTGTACTTTGTATTGGAGTATTTCCCTACCGGAGAGTAAAGAAGTACAACTTGATTACTTTCTGATGAATTCCACTTGGACATATTATGCTGCTGCAATGTCCTCAACAAGGTAATACAGCAGACAAATGATTTACTGCTGCTTATGTGCCTAATGACTTGGGATGGAGCCAAATGGTTTTATCAACACACTACCTATCTAATCAATTACAGAACATCTAGCTGCCTGATGGTAAGATTCATGAACACCAGGTATAGATAGACACATACACATTCCATATACAGGTACAATAAAACACAGAATGTTGTTTAAAGCTTTTTACCTTTTTCAGATTAAAACATCTAACAACTGGTAGTACATATTATTTTAATCGCTTATGGGCTACATCATTATTCAATGCAGGCTCAAAATCCGATATATAAAGACAAAATGTGCAGGGTAACCCCTAATTAGTATAAAACCCCTTGAGAATATTTTTTGGGTCCAAATAAAAGTATAGTAAAGAATATTTTTTTACACATTGCGACCCGCAACATTAAGTATATTGTAATAAAAAATTTGAATCCCAAACACTTTTTGAAACTTGACATAAGATTTAAAACAACAATACACTAATTAAAAACATTATTTTGTATTTTTTGTTTTAAAAATTGCTGTAATTTTTGGTTGTCTAACTTAACCAACTAAAAGACGTCAAATTTAATGAAAACCGCAAAGAAAAAATTTATTTACAATTAAAAATTTCCCAACAAACATCATCAAGTTCTGAAAAATCGAGTAATAAATCGCTGAGAAATCGTGGTTTTGTTGTACAGGCCATGCACCTAGACAGGTTGTTGTCATTGTACCTAGTTTTTTGTCAATAAAAATACGATCTTAATATCAGCCTGTTTAATGTTTTTAATTTTTAAGGAAGTTGAACGTGTAAAAGTATATGTTTTGAGAGCAACAAAAAAAGCATTATTCAGAACTGACCACAGCACAAGAAGAACTTGATAACGTGATGAAGCATTGTTGTATTATGATGGAATGCGGGATTGTGGGTCAGGAGCGTGTGGATCGCTGGATATTTGCGCGGTTTAGAGGAGAGCAAACAAGGGAGCGAGATGTGGTGTGTGGACAAACACAAGACAAGGGCAGAGGTGACGACAACGACAACGTCAACTTCGCGCGTCTTGTGCCTCTACCGCGAGGTCTGCACGCTGCAGCAGCAATACAAGCAATAACACTCAACATGTTGGCCTTTCTGCAAGACGATTGTAGTGTTTGTAAGTAATTTATACAGATATTAATGTGAAAAACACGTCAATTTAAATAGTAATAGAATTTAGCGAGACTTCAACAGATGAAATGTTAAATCGAGACAAAGAATAACAATTTTTGTCGTGATAAAAATGCTTTTAACAGGCCTTGAATCAGGTCAGACATATACCAAATACCTACTCACATTAGATTGAATAATTTAAAAACAGCGCTGATAAAGATAAGATACGTTGATTAAAGTCGATTAGAAGTTAATGTGGGGGATATTTCAGAAGAGAGCCGCCACTATTTAAAGTTTCCCTACACGATGAAATTGTTTCCTAGTGAGTACCTGGTATTGAGAGAGTATTTAATAAATAAAAACTATCCGCATTGTGCATATTCTAAATCAGGTTCAGTCGTAGGGCGTTATCTTATCAACCGTAATCTTTCTCTTGTCACAGCTACCTGTATAGACGGAACTCCGCAGCATTCGTCTGTTTTTTTTTTAGTCAGAAATTTACAAATGTAGTACAAATGTACATATTATGTAGAAGATATGGACATTACAAATCAATTAATTACTCATCCTACACTCATCTCCATTCATACTTGGCTAAAAATACCTACTTCGTATGGTCGCCATTTTATTGAAAAGTATTAAAGTAAGTATACTTGACGAAAAATTCAATTTTCTACGCTTTTTCGTAACTTATTTGAATAGTTAACAGGGCTTTAATCAAAGTTTTTAAAGTAACAGGCACAATAAACAGTTGTAAACATTCAACCAAACAAAACACTTAGAATTCAAAAAGCAATCCAAATAATGTGTTTTTATATCTTAAAAAATATGTGTATCAGCGAAAAAATAGCCTACCAAAAGTTAACACTATTTGAAGGCGTATAATATAAGGCGATTAATATCCGTATTAAAAACAAGAAACCATCCTTTATTCACCCTTCCCAATTTGATAACAGTTTTCTTTACGGCCAAATTTCAGGATTTCTTGTCAAGGACCACAAGACTGTCCGGGACGATGCGAGATGAACATTCCACAGCGTTGTGTGGAACCCCGATATAAAGCCAAAGTCAAACAAGGTAGAATTAAAAGAAAGCACGGACGTTGGACGTTGGAGGACTGGGATGTTGTTCCAGGTGGAGGAGTCTGATTGACGGATCTCGGCCTGTTCAGGTCAATATTGACTCTGGTGTCGTGAGTGTTCGCCTTCGCCCACGCTGTAGCAGTAGCACACAGAGCACACAGCACTGCAGCAGTATGGGCTGCGGAGGTGTGAAGTGACGGTGGCGCGGCTCTAGGCGACGATTACTGTGAAGGATCGCCACAGCTGATTGGTGATTAGCAGAAGCTGTCCTCATCTCGGGACCCATCGCTCACAACAGAGAAGATAATAGCTCTCCTTTTGGCTACTTATTTCCTATAAGTTCACATTTTAACATCCCTCTTAGGCGAACCGATTGTGTTTTAAGGTTAACACAATTCTAAGTCAATATGATACAAAAAAGGATGGGTTGATTTGCAGAAAAACAGGTTTAACACACTTGGTATAAGTTGTTTGACTTTTTGTAAAGTCGAAATCTCACTTTGCTCCTTGCAGGTTTACCGACGAGACATTTGTATTCAACTAATAACATCTTGGTACCGAGAACCAAAACATTATAAAATACTGTAAAATCGTTGAAAATATTATGATTTTACAATGTTACACGCTTTTTAACATTAGTAAAAATTGGAAGGCCGTCTTGTCCAGCGTGCAATGGAGATGTGCGGCCGTTGACCGCTACCAGCACCAGGCTCAACCGCGGGAGCCGAGGCCGAGGCGAAACACTGCGTTTAGCTGCGTTTACTGGGTTCATAAAAGATCCTTTTCGAATGTGGAGTTCACAAACGGAACCAAAACACTGGAGCCGCTACTTTCTCTAGGAAACGTTCAGTAGAGGTCAGAGAGAAGGCATGAACACTGAACGACCGATGATTGCCACTCTACACTCTGCAGTGTACAGCATGGGTATTGTGTTGTGTGACGAGTCCTCAGTGTTCAGTGCAATTACACATACAGGTACTGCAGCTCGGGGAATTTAGAAAACTCTACGAGCTTTGAGTTCAACAATCGTCTACAAAAATTAAGTAAATCGTGTGTGTTCAGGACGAGTCGAAACTCTTTTTGCGTACCAAACAAAGCTAAATATCCTGTTGTACTAATTGTAGGAGCAACAGAACACATCTCAGTTGAATAACATTTGAATTTATTCATATACATTTTTACAAATCTCGGGATCTGGTTGGCAACCAAACGGTTGTACAGTAGCTACAGACAGCAGTAGTTAGTGCGACACTGACAGTAGGCTACAGTAATACAGTAGCAGTCGTGGTCGTGAGATCTCAGTGCATCCGCCTACACGGGGCTATATCTCAGATATAATTATGAGGGATCTTTGACAAAGGTGTCTCACGCCCACTCCACATCGAGTTAGACATCACAGCACTGCACACCAGCACCAGCAGCAGCCAACAGCCAGAGGATGGCGTAACTACGGCAGGCGGGAGTGGCGATTTATGACGGTGCCGCTGTAAATGTAATATTTTAATAGTTAGATGCTAATGTTGGCCATTAAACGGTGTGCCATTGGCGGGTATCCTTATTGCCACCGCGCCGTGTCGTCGGGACCGACCACTTCGCACGTGGATACATCGTACAGTCCAAGTCCAAGTCCTGTTGGCTGTGGCGACTTGCGCCACTTCTCTCGAAGTTCCTACTCGCTGGGAGCATATACTTGTACAGTGGTCCAACGCACAAAACATGGCACGCCGCTGTCCACAAAGCACCCTCAGGCCTCAACTGACTGACTAAACTACATCATTGTATTGTGGATCCTAAAAGAAATAATGGCTGAGAACCGTTTGATAGCTCATATAAACTAATAATTACTGAGGTCAATATCAAGGTAATGGTTATGCTCAGACACGGAGGACCAACATTGTCATGAAATACATACACGCTTTATTGAGGAGGTTATGGAGATGAAACACTGTATGGTGTTGTGCGATAGTGGCGATGGTGTAGTAGTGACACCTGTATTTGGCCAGTAGGTCGACTAGGGTGTCGGGACCCAGGAATGTGTCAGCAGTGATTGAAGTGACAACTGGTCCTGCAAGATTGATCACTTGATTCCAAGGATGCTGTCCGA